CCCAAATCAACCTCAAAATACAATTTTAGTAATACTCTGTCCATTTTTCTACGTAGTTATGGATACAATCAAGAAGAAAAAAAAACCTCCATAATAAGAGTGCATATGTAAAAATACAAAATGTTTTTCTTCCATTAAACTGAATGTGTTCCATGCACACAATCTAAAGTATCCTTAATGAATCAAGCACCTGAGTGTTTGTATCTCATTTTGAGGTCTACACTAGAAAGATAAAATAATAGATGATTATTCACATCCTTCAACAAGAATTAAATACACTGGGCCCAATACTTCTCATACAATGAGTGTTTTAAAAAATCTGTATCACTAAAAAGACTATATGAATAAATGTAAGATTTATATTCAAAGGTAGATTATACTATCAATCAAGAAAGACTGACACAAAATTCAGAGACCCATGTTCTAAATCCTTCTCAGTAACTAATTAGCTTTATGTCATTAGGTACAACAATTCCCAGGGCCTCCTTCTCATCAAAAAAAAATGGAGAAGTTAAACTACATGATCTCTGAAGCTGTTTCAGTTTTAATATTTCAAAAATGACAGGGAGAAGCAACACCAGAACACATTATACCATCAAAAGTGTGACTCTATGGAATGATATCAAACACAGAAATAAAGGAAAATCCCCCAAATACTTTTGAAGTCTATTTCTTATCTATAAAACCTTAAAAGTTTACAGTTCTGATCAAATAAACAATTATTTGATAATTAGTAGGTTTACTGAAATCTAATCTGTATGCTATTTACTCTTCAGTGATATTTAAGCTGAAGAAATAACATGAGTAGAAAAATGTTGCATTCCTAATATAATTACTCTTTAAAAATATATGTATATATTTATTAAGCATTTAGGTAAGTATTGTGGTAAGTGCTCAAGATGCAATGAGGAACAGGATGGACACAGGTCTTCCCTCATGAAGCTTATAGACTAAAGAAAAGAGAAGAATAAATAGGATAAAGATCAACAAGGAAGAGAGCATTACAGCCAAAGAAGCACATAAATTTAGCTTTTTGCATCTTAAGGGAATAATTAGCACCAGACATCCAGAATACATGTATTCTGCAAACAACACAGCACTCAGGATCCTGCCTTATGCTGAAGAGCAGCTGACACAGGCTTTTCTTGTATTTGCTATCACAAAATGATTAACTCAAGATCTGGGAACAACAGTGACTGATACTCTCTTGTACTGTCTTTCCATCCTGAGAGTACCTGCCTGCTCGAGATTTGATCTTTTTTTTTTTTTTCGAGATTTGATCTTTTCTCCACATTTTGTTTCAATGTCTCTGCGCTTTCTCATTTCTTTCCATGATTTGCACCTAAACTCTGATCTTTGCTTTTGTCCCTGCTTCTCTTTGGGGCTTCCTGTCTAAATGGGACTTTCTAGATATCAAACCCAGTGCTGGCAACTCTTTCAATACTTCTGCTGGCTTGTCTATCTAGGACTGTCTATGCCATTCTATTCAGATACCAGTCTTTGAGTGGGATCTCCTACTTTGTCTTGAAAACCATAGACATCTCATCCTCAATCACTCCATTTGACACAACATTAAACATCATCTGCATATTGTCACCAAAACATTACTTCAGTGTGTCCCTTCCTCTGAATCTCTAAAATTTCCTTGGTTTGGACTTTCACCCCAGAGCCTCTGGTCTCACTCAAAGAACTCTTAACTGGTCTTCCTGCCTTCGGTCTTTCCACCTCTACTCCACCTTTTACATCACTATCTGAGTAATGCTTCTAAAATATGAGCATGAATTGACCAGTATTCTGTTCAAATCTCCTTTTTGGTTCCCCCACCAAATGCAAAACTGGACTCAAACTTTTGAAATGGCATACAATGTTCTTCTTGGTAGACCTATTCTCTACCTCTTTCTAAAGCCCTATCCCTGCCATTCTCTGCCTCACATTTTCACATTGTAGTATTGCCAAATCCCTTGGGTTTCTTTCCATTTATGATGCTGTTCCTCTTCTATACCATTCCTACAACTGTCTACTCTGCATGCCTGGTCTTTCCTTTTATCTGGCCAGCTGCAAAATTCACCTGAGGGATCAGACTCTGTGGCAGCTTCTGCACACCTACCTGTATCACTGCTCTTATATATGATATTGAAATTATCGATGTAAGTGTCAGCTTTTCTAGGAAAAAAAAAATGTTCCTCAAGCAAAAAGATCATGCAAAATTCATCATTATGCCCACAGAACGTAATCTAGCATCTGGGACACAGTAGCTACTCAGTAAATTCTTTTCAAACTGAATAAAATTTACCCTCTAAATGCCTTGTTGGGATTTATGACATAAACAAATCGCTGCTCTATTGGAACTGCTTGTCTGGTATTCCTCAATGGTATTCCTTAGTTCTCATTCCTCTTCCTCCCTGTAATGTATCGTTCTTCCCATTCTTTGGTTATTTTATCTGCAAGCCTGGTCCAATTCTTAGTTGGACTTTATATTATGTAACCAATGCCGACAAAGCAACAGTGACCCTATCCTCACCCAATCCCCTAGTTCTTCCAGGATTAACACTAACAGAAGAAATTCATTTGGCAGATTTATGAAAACAATTACCAAATGCCCTCCGAGGTCCTTCTAACACTGCAAGATGTCAGCATGGACTAGCTGAATAGCAATTCTACTTTCCATATAGTTTTGTCCTCTGATTTCAGATCTTATCTTCAATACTTATGGAGCTGTCTAGTCATAGTTCATGGGAATTACAGTATTGTAGCCCATCAATAACCTAAGCCATCTTTCTGGTAAATAGACCCAATTCCTCCTTAGTCAGTTGGTCAGCGTGGTATTGCTTATCATGACCCTTTTACGCTGTACAGGAACGGCTGTCTCACAAGGTATTAAAACTCGTCTGATCAGAAGTTCAATCCCATTAAATGATAAGGGAAAACTGCTCACTAGTTCTCAAATTAAAGAGCTATGATTAAGAGTCATCTCTGGCTCTCATAATTTAACTGAACAACAGCAGTGAAAGCTTTCTTTTCAGAAATGATAAAGATTTGAGCTTGCAAGAAAATTCCAAGTACACTGCTCTTGTCATCAGAATTGAGGAGTTGGGAAAAAGAAAAAAGTGAAATGCTTTATTAATGCACAACAGAAGCTGCTAGCTCCAAGATTTCTGAGCCAGCAAAACATGTATATTCTGAATTTACTATGCAGGTGGGATAAATACAATTTTGCATTTAGTTCTATCAAAACCAGTTAGGGATGAACAGCATCACCGTACTTAAAGTAGGAGGAACATTTTTCAAGGTTGGGTAAATTTCAATGGTCAAACATAATGCTGCTCATTTCTTATTAAGGATGCTTTAAAAAAAAAAAAAAAAAAAAGGTTTCCTTAATGCACAGCTGGTCTTCAAAGGTGAACCATGTCTTTCTATCAACCCCCTCCCCCATACCTTGCTCACCAAGCTCAGGGCATTATCTTGTTTATTCAGGTATTCTTAACTTCTTGCCATTATTATACCTCTAATTAGCCAACTGGAGAACTCCTATCTATGTTTTATATGATCAAGTTAAATGCTGCACTTTTGCAGAAGCCATCTGTAACGTGCCGGCAGCACCAAACCCTCCTAACCTTCCAGTGCTGATATCACAGTCAGTTCTTCCTCCTTTTGCGTTTGTCAATGTGTATGTATTTCTGTAACAATATAACAAACCTTAAGGATTTTTAAACTGTTTACATCTCCATTTCCCTTATTAATTTCCATGGCTTGCTGGCACTGATAACCCTCATGCCTACACATACCAAAAAAAGCCCATAGTCAATAGATCTCGGCTAAATGAAGATTTTAGACAGTCTCCCACATAATGGTGAGAACATGAATTGTGAGTCTGACATACTATGCAGTCCATGTTCCCATTTTTTATTTGGCACTGGAAAAGCATACGTTTTCTAAAACCTCCCTTTTCTCATATATTTAAATAAGGATACCGCACGAACTTAAAATTTCTTTCAAACAATAAAATCCTAAATTGGACCACAATTGATCAGGTTTATAGTACTGCTGGGTTTTTGTTTTTTTTTTCAAGTTTATTTATTTTGAGAGAGAGTGTGAGCTGGGTAGGGGTGGGGGATGAGAGGAGAGAATCCCAGCAGGCCCCCCACTACCAGAATGGAGCCCAATGCAGGGCTTGAACCATGACATCATAACCTAAGCCTAAGTCAGTTGATTAATCAACTGAGCCACCCATGTGCCTCAAAGCAGAAAGAGACTAGCCTGGGAAGGAATGTAAGTCCTTGAGTGTCAACACTTGGATAAACAGACATCTACATCTTATGTGGTCACAAATTTCTATATATTTTAATTAAAGAATTTCCAAGTTGATCTGATAGATGAAGACAGCTGGTAATGATCCCAGAGTGCAGAAGAATCTTTTTGTTAAAATGAGCAAATTGTTCGATTTTATTTAGATTTTCTTACCTACCCTTTAAATTTAAATCATCATGCAAAAGAACCATGAAGGAAGAAAGTTATCTTCAGAACATAACGTTTACCCTTCCCGTTTTGTAACTGAAGAGACAAGATATCCGGAGAAATGAAGGGAGTTCTTTGAGCCACAGAGAGATTTGACAGGCTTTGAGCTGACCTTCAGGAACAAAAATATTTGAGGAATCTAGGTGTAAGTAAAGGTTGGTTATAGTGGTCCTGACCTTTGTACATTTCCAGAGGCTCTGCCTATCCCAAGGAAAAGGCAAAAGAATCTCTCTAACGATCTAGTTTTACTACTTCAACAGTTTTACCTTCCTTTATTCTCTCCTTCCATGCCTCTATAGTTAAGCTAATTTGTAAATGTTAAACTAAAGGAACGTGGAGGTTTCTTAAATTAATGAATCTTCCCCAGGAACGAAGTATTACAGCTTCATTGCTATGTTATATAACAAAATGGTACGGTTATCCCAAACAGGACACCTTGAAGGTCATAAATACCATGATAACTTTGGGATTTAAAAACAAAGTACCTTGCTTTCTGCTAACCAGCGATGTGGATCATAATTGATATCAGGACCAGATGAAAACACCTACAAAAAAAGGAAATAGTGTATTAGAAGTAGAATTTTCTCTGAAATGAACTTACATAAATGAAATTCTTCGCCATAGCACGTAAAAGTTTAATCCCTAAATGTGAAGGTTTAAAAAGAAGAAAGTTCAGTTTCAAGTACTCAACGAATTCTAAGCCACCATTTATTATGTTCATTTATGTACACGTGTATATATGTATGTACTCATTGAGAGTAAATATTTGGCTCAAATACAGAGGCACGTATCAGCTCTCAAAGTGTTGTCACTGCTAGAATCTTTAGAGCTGACTCCACGGAGTTCTGGCAGACAGCCACAATCAAACCAGTTTATTTCATTTTTTCATTTGTTTCTTTTCCTCAGTCTTGTTCCATATAATATATTTCACAGTGGGTTAGATGTAATTACATGGAAACTTAATTCTTTGTCTCTTTCTTTAATTTTATACTGTGAGGGTCATTTTGTCTCATTAATGTTTGTGTAGAATTGACAGAAACTAATCAACAGGACTTTGTGCAAACGTTGCTTTATATTTCATGATGCTAACAAAATCCTACAATAAATAGGTTGTCTATACCAGCTGCCTTGATTTCCTTCATACCAACTCATTTATAAAATCCCTTGCCATCTGGTTCTGCCTTATTACTAATAAAATGATGTTCAAAGGCTGTCAATGACTTTATGATTGTAAACATAAATTGTTTTTCAGTTCCTACTTGCTTTGAAACAGGTGCTACCTGTGATATTTTTACAGGACTCCTTTCTAGTAATTTTGTTTAAAAATATCCTATCCCTCTGCAAGGCATCTATTCCTATCCCCATACTACCTGAAGTGTGTGCACATCACTCCCCTAAGGAATATCATTAGGTGATTCATTTAGACACATGACGAATGTATAATGATGCTGACCATATGCTGTAAACAAACATGTTGTATTCTTAGCTCCCACTTTTCTCTCCTACACTTTTCTAACCATCCAAATCCCACCCAACTCACAAGCCTCCTTGTCTTCGGTGAAATTCTGCCTATTCTAGCTTATAGTGTTTTCTTCCTCTTTGAACTCTGTGACTTGCAAGCATCTACTTCTCACTGATTCTGATGTTTTTCTTATTATTTTCTATTCATCTGTGTCATAGTTTTAATTAAATCTTCAGTGACCTAAGGTCTAGTGCTAAAGACTAAAAAATTTAAAATAATTCGATAGAAGTACAAATAATGTTCCTATTTTGTGATTTTTTTTTTTTACATATTTATATATAGTTTAAGAAAAGAGCCTGTCCGCTTACAGGTGATGTGACTCAATTTCTCTAAGCCGCAGGTTATCATCTATAAGGTAGGCAAACTGCCTCATAAGGCCAAGGTATAAATTAAATAAAATGAGGGTTAGCACAGTGTCTAGCATAGAGAACACCATTATTACCACTAACTGCATATAAAGAGGTAATCATCAGGAAACAGACTTCTAGCTCTATTGTAACAAAAACACTACAACAACAATTTGTTATAAACAGGTGAATAAAAAAACCTGTGTATATATAAATATACAAATATATATGAATATATATATATATATTTATATATATATAAATGACAAAAAGGGCACTATATAATAATGACAGCTAGCATTACCTGAGTATTTACTCAGTGCAAGATACTTCACTCCATAATATGCACCTTATATATCTTATTTTACTTTATCCATAAAATAAGCCAACTTACAAATGGGACACGAGTTCTTAGAGAAAAGAGAAATACATAAGCTGTCCAAGGTCATGCATTAGCAATCTGGAGAGATGTAATCTGAACCTATATCTGCCTTGATCCAAAGCCTATCCTCTTTATGCTCAGCAAATGAGTGCATACTCGGAATAGGAGTTAGGAGGAAAGCTCTTCAATTATCAAAGACGGGTCTGTGAAAATGATGTAACTTTAATTCAGGCACTTTCCTAACTGTTTTATAATTGTGGCGGCTTATGAAGTGTCTGTCCTTAAGTTTTCAAACATTACATGCATTTACTAAAGTGGAATAAGTAATAAATACGGTGGCTAGAAAAAGGTAATCAGAAATAATATCAACACTCCCAAGGACTTCCCTCAGGCTCATTTGTTATATATCTATTATCCAATTCATATCACAGCTGTCACTCTCTATAGCAAGTGGCTTAAAAAAATTCATCCACAATATTTCAAAATCAATAAATGACAAAGAATGAATTGGAATTATTCCATTTTTTAAAAACATTCTATAAGACCCACTACTCTCCCTTAGATCTCTGAACTGTAAAGCAAAGAATCAATTTTATTTTAACAACACCTTGAGTAGTTTATTTGAGGAGACCAAATGTTATATTCTTGGTATTTATTTTTCCCCCATATTTATAGGAAGTTAACAACAGAACTTATTAATGGAAAGAGACTCACAAAGAAAAAAACTATACTCTAAAAAAAAAAAACTTAATAGAATTTCCATTCTTTTAGATTTACTTTCCACCCATCACTTGGATTGAACTGGTCTTTCTCTAGGGGAAAAGGTGTAAAGATCCATTACCACAGTCAACGTATTCCTCTTAAAGAATAGGGTGCTTTTTGGAAGATGTTAGAAGGATCGTTTGGACCTCAAAAAGAAGTAAGAAAATATTTAAGCAATCTGCTATCTTCCCACTATGTTTTAGCCTTGCCCATAACACGGTTTATGTATCTTATCGCATGATCCATGATTCCATTTCTACATCTCAATCTGATTGAAAATAGGCCACTTTGACACAAATACTTAAATGTTTCACTATTTTCTTTAACTTTTTAGTAAATATTTATTTTTGAGAGAAAGTAAGCAGGGGAGGGGGGAAGAGAGGGAGGGGGACAGAGGATCCAAAGTGGGCTCCGTGCTGACGATGGAGAGCCCAATGTGGGGTTTGAACTCACGAACCGTAAGACTGTTACCTGAGCTGCAGTCATACTCTCTCAACAGACTGAACCAATCAAGCGCCCCAATATTTCACTATTAATATGTGCTTCTTTTAGATAAAATTAGAATCTTAAGTCCATATATCTCTTAAATATATTTAAACATGGCAAGTCTTAAATTAAAAAAAGCAGCATTAGACAGGAAAATGAGTACACCAGCATTACAACAGGCCCTAAAACAAAACTGAAAGAGTGTTTCTTCTAAAGCCAATTCTCATGTTTAGCCCCTAGTCCTCTCAAGCTGATATCTGAGCTTTTTGTTAAATGTAACTAGAAATACATTCTGTAGAAGTTCCATCAACTCCACCAAAATCTATCCATCAAAATATTTCTGTTAAAGTTGAATCCTAAGATAGTTTCCACCGTAACACCAGAATTAGAGTTTTCTTTTCTTTAGAACACCACTTAAGAAAAAAAAAAAGAAAGAAAAACGATAAGAGCAGGAAAAAAAGAGGAGAAAGCCATATAAAAAGGGAAGATCATTTTAAATGAAGAAAGACATGACAAAATAAGAAAGAACCATCTGAAAAAATTTTTTTAATATTTTTAAAAATATATTAGGCATAACACTATAATTTGAGTCCTGCCATATCACCACATGAAATAAATACAGGGTAATGATGGCTACAAGATATGTGTTACAGTGCTACTGCATCAAAGGAACACAACCCGGGGTGCCTGCGTGGCTCAGTCGGTTAAGTGTCAAAGTCCGGCTCAGATCGGATGATCTTATGGTTCATGGGTTCAAGCCCCGTGTCAGGCTCCGTGCTGACAGCTCAGAGCCTGGAGCCTGCTTCGGTTTCTGGGTCTCCCTCTCTCTCTGCCTCTCTCCTGCTTGTGCTCTGTCTCTCAAAAACGAATGCTTAAAAACAAAAAAAAAAGGAACACGCAATGCAATAGAGCAGTCTACAAAGGTGCTTAAGTTCAAGGAATTAAGAACATACGTGATTAATTCTGTTTTTATTCGTCATTCCCCTAGAACTATAAACTGAATAGCAACATTCCATTTTAAAGACAGAAAAACTAACCTAAGTATATTTGTTTAAAAACAGAAGGCAGAGAGCATTGTGGTTACTTGTTTAAGCTCCAGAGTCAGGCTCCCAAGCTTTGTAGTCCTGCTTCCAGCATTTAATTGGATACAAGGCCAGGGCCAAGGTACTTAACCTCTCCAAGCCTGGCTTTCTCTGGTCTAAAATGGATTTAATCAAAGTATCTAATGGACAGGGTGGCTTTAGGGGTTAAGGGAGAGAATGCATATACTGTAGCTACCACAGTACCTATAATAAAACTAGTACTAAATACATGTTAGCCATCAATATACTAGCAACAAACAAAAATGGGCTGATAACAGCAAGCCAGCCCTCTTGACTCCAATGATATTTGTTTAGTCAGAACTGCTGCCTCTCTCATAAGACATTTTCTTTTCCAGAGTGAGATAGAGGCAATTCAAGGAAATAACAATACACGATACACTTTCTCTCCCACGACAGCGCAATAGACACAGTATCTCATTCTAAAAAATGCAAGGTATTATTTTGTTTCATAAAACTTTCCAGAATAAAAATGTGATGACCATGTAACCATGCATTAAAAACTTATTATAATTATATATTAGGAAACTAAGTGAAAGGCACAATGAGAACTCATAATTACTTTCAATTTCTCCATCGAGTCCCTGGAGAAGGTTTTACAAGCTGCATCAATTTCCTTTCCTATGACACCAAGAATGGATTCCTGTTCAGTCTCCAGACAAAGAAGTTGATCCTTGAGCTGCAGTCTGGCCTCTTCAATCCTCCTTAAGTGCTCTTCTTCATTGCTTATATGCTTTTCCTAAAACGTGGATAAGAAATAAAAACAGAATTATTAAGAAATGGCAAGAAACGCTTGTAATATCTGTGTAGCCAACTCCAAAGAGTGTGTAAGGAAACACATCTGACTCGGTCAGTCCCTTTACTTTACTAAGAACATTCTGCCTACTCATCAGCTGAGGTTACAGAGAATTCAGAAGAAGGGCACTGAGGAAACTGGGTGAGTGGATACTTGGCAAAGAAAATTAAAGTAATTCCGTAACCAAAAGAAAAAGAAATTTAAAGAAATTCTTTACATTTTAGTAACATACTGTCATTAACAGATTGGAGAGTAAAAACTGACACCACAAACAGACTTGGAGCTTTCAGTAAATATTAGCAAAACACGAGAAAAAGTAAGATATAAAATAAGATCGTTAGTTTTTTTCATTTCTGAAATATCCCATATGACTACCTTACCTTATCAAGACATAGATTTTAAAGAGGTTAAGTTTTCAAATACAGTCATATTGCATAAATACTTTGAGTCATGTCAATTTGATCAAAGCAAGATAGAGGTACTTTACAAAAGTAAGCAAATATATTTAAAAAAAAGGTTTCTGAGCATCCTTTAGGAGATTACAAAGACTTGGGGGCCCTCTCTAGGCAAAGCAAGTCCCATTCATTACGGCTGCACAGTCTCATTACTAGAAACATTCAAGTGGTGTTGCACACACCTGAAGGTCACAAAAATCACTAGAATATCAGTAAAAACAGTAGCCCAAAAAGTCACGATGGCTGGCCAGCTTTGCTTTCACTCATTACACAGAGACCTCATCATCTTTACCTACCCTAGGGAATACAACATAAGCAGGAAGATGATGTAGCTGAAAAACCCAGCTTGAAGTTAAGTGAATAAAGGGGCACCTGGGTGGCTCAGTTGGTTAAGCGTCTGACTTCGGCTCAGGTCATGATCTCACAGTTCGTGGGTTCGAGCCCCGTGTTGGGCTCTGTGCTGACAGCTCAGAGCCTGGAGCCTGCTTCAGATTCTGAATCTCCCTCTTTCTCTGACCCTCCCATGCTCACGCTGTCTCTCTCTCTTCTCTCTCTCTCAGAAATAAAAACATTAAAAAAAAAAAAAGTTAAAAGAACAAAAGAGATCTGCTCAATGAAAATTCATCACAAAAGGAAAAGATAGCATTTTAGCAGAATCACACAATATTTCCTTTCAATTCAAATTACTTTTTAAAAATGAACGAAACCCTCTGCCCAAGAGAACAGAGTCGTCACACAACCTGTCTTCTGTCCTTCTATCCAGCCTCACCTCCGTCCTTTCCACTCTCTCGGACTGTGACTACTTGCAGCTTCTCTGACAAGGCTGCATACGTCCCCCCACCCCCATCTGATGTGTGCCACTCTGCTTGAAGCTGTGCTACTTGAAAATGGGGCCCGGTAGCTCAGAGGCGGCAATTAGCCTGATGACTACATCCTCCCAGTCTGCAGCTCAGCGCTGTAAACTGAGGGACTGGATTTTCTTTTCTTTTTGGTGCTCTGAGTGGAGCCATCTTTCCGCAACAGAGGAACATGAAGCTCACAAGAGACTCATGTACAAACCAGAAGGCCACTCAATTAACTACATCAGCTTACAATGAGAACCACAACTGCCATATGGATCAGAATGTTTGTGTCAGCATAACCAGTACGTTTTCTCCCTGCAGCCCAATCTGGATGGGAAGGCAAATTTTAACCAGAGCGTTGCTTAATGAATAGGAAATCGGAGCGAGGGGAATCTGTGTTATGAAGTGATGTGTAAACGCTGTCACACCAATGGCAGTCAACACCCTGGGCGGGGATTTTTGTCTCTGTATTGTTGCTAGGTACTGACCACTTAGACTTCCTATCCTTCCAAGATCTAGTCTCCTTTCTTTACTGACCGCCTGATGCAGAATGTTCCGGGAGCATATTATGTGTATCGCAGTATTTTTAAAAATGTAATATAATTGTCTGTGTAGAAGCCTCCCTCAATAAACTACTAATTTGGGGAGACCACAAAACATGTTTATAGTCATCTTTTTTAAATGCCCCAACTTTGCTGAACAAATTATTTAATACTTTTGGAAAACTCAGATTCAACACTGGAAAGATCATTTCATCAACTACCATGCAGACCTATATGTACTCAGAGGCTACTGGGGTGTGCTAGGAGGTTCCTTTCATGCATTCATAGACCTCCAGACCGCTGCTATGTTCTCACTGGTGTGACATTAATAAAGAAAATACTCTACCAGGGGTTACGAAGCTATGTTCTCACTGGTGTGACATTAATAAAGAAAATACTCTACCAGGGGTTACGGACAACCGTTGATATTCTAAACGCAGGCAATTCACAATGGTATTCTAACTGTTCCTTCTTTTCGCATTTCCCTCAGAGCTGGCTTTCCTCTATCCACTCCTGCTTTTCTGTGCTCTCTACCACCTGACTCATCAACAAGACAAAACTTTCTGTATTTTGATATTCCTGAAAAGGTTGACACTGTCAGAAAAGGCTCCATAAATGCAATCTCTTTAGCAAAGAGACTATCCACTTCACTATCTTCTGTGAGAGAGTCCACGTGCTACGTCCAACCTCCCTTTGAAGTAAAACTATGAACTCATATAGACCTTTGAGATTGGCAAGTCCAATTACCTATTGTGCTTTCAGGAATCCCTTCTCTGACATTTCTGACAAATGGTCATCAAACCCCTATGTGACCAGCTCTAGTTTCTAAGAATAGGATATTTGACAAAACTGTAACATCTTTCCATTAGTGTGAGTGCTGTACTCAACAATTAAATAAGTGAATCCTGTGCGCGTACTAAGTTACATACCAGGTAAACCCATGTTCTTTTATTTAACTCAGTTTCAGGCACTCCACCATATTGGTTCCCCACCTGCATGTCCCCCAAGACCTTAAATATAAAAATAAGCTCTTCCATTCTGTACTTAAGGAACTGTAATTTGATTTATTCACTCATTCAACCAATTTTTATGGAAGGTCTACTATGATGAGATATTCTCCTGAGTACAAGGGACAGAGTGAATAAGATAAGGCTCCTGTCCTCATACAGCCAACAAATAACTCCGTGAAATGTCATCCCTTTTGTTTTGCCTCATTCTTCTGGTTGGAGAATACCTATATGGGGGCGCCTGGGTGGCTTAGTCGGTTAAGCGTCCAACTTTCGCTTAGGTCATGATCTCGCGGTTCGTGAGTTCGAGCCCCGCGTCGGGCTCTGTGCTGACTGCCAGCTCAGAGCCTGGAGCCTTTTTCAGTCTGTGACTCCCTCTCTCTCTGACCCTCCCCTGCTCAGGCTGTCTCTCTCTCTCTCTCTCTCTCCTAGAAATAAATAAAACATTAAAAAAAAAAAAAAAAGAATACCTATATGAATACCAATTGGGGCACCCAATGAAATAGTTTTTGTCCCAGTTTCAGGCTTCAGAAAATAGCTCTACAAATGGAACAGCATGGCTAATTCTGTGGGACAAGTGGGAAACTGGCTGACATTAATTCAATCATCTTGTCTGATTTGAGGGTATATGGATTAATAAGAGGAGATGATACTATTTAGGCACGATTATGACTATTCCCTGGTTCTCTAATGAATTCAGAAGGCGCAATAACTCTACAACAAGATTAACCAAAAGCTACTGTATATCTACAGAACTAGAGGTAATACAAGGTATTTTAGAGTCTATTTAGAAATATGGATGAAAAAGGTGACTTTGTGGTACAATGGATAGGGCACTCGACTTCTAGAAATATGGAAGACACAGTCCAAATTCAATGTTTCAGCATGAATGGACACAAATGTCTGGGTCTTGGGAATATAAGGAGCTTCTCTGTGAGAGGGTGGGAGGATAGGATTCAAGAGATAGAAACAGATGAAGCTAACTATACATAGTAGTCTATATGATCCAAAAAGAAAGATATCCTAGATCATGCCTGATTTTGAGAAAGAACCTTAGAGAAAAAATTCAATCCTTAATTATACAAATGAGGAAACCAAAGTTCAGAAAGACTAAATAATCCGACTAAAATCAAAGATGCCATAGTCCATAATCTGAGTCTCCTGGCTCCCTAAATCCTCTCTATCAAAATGTCAGGTAAGTTGAGGGGCACCTGGGTGACTCAGACAGTTAAGCGTCTGACTTCAGCTCAGGTCAGGATCTCATGGTCCATGGGTCTGAGCCCTCCTAAAGGCTCAGAGCCTGGAGACTGCTTTGGATTCTATGTCCCCCTCCCCCCTTTCTGCCCCTTCCCTGCTTGGCACTTGCTTTTGCAGGCTCTCTCTCTCTCTCTCTCTGAAAAATAAATAAACATTTTAAAAAATGCCAGATAAGTTGAATTCTTAAAATTGGAATTTAGAAAGCCAATGTGAAAAATTCAGGAAAGCTATCAGTAGGTAATATGGGGACTAATATAGTCTTAAAGTAGAAAGAATATAAAAAATACTTCTGAGACATTAGTATAAATGAAATACATGACATATTGGAAAATTCAGAATAGACCACAAAAAAAAAAAAAAAGAGGAAAAAAGAACACCATCTATAGCCTAAACTTTTAGGGGCTATCCATCTATACTGGATATGTACACTGTGTACACATAAAACCTGCTCTTGGCAGATTGTAGTCAAAAAGTACACATTAATCACACACTAAGCAAGGTACAGTTCTACTGTCAAGATAGCAAAGATTTTATGAAGCTTCCATTTCAGGACAGGAAAGGATTACACTGTTAACATTTGTGTCTAAAGTAAGTAAAAAATAATACTGCTCACAATCTCATCAAACACACACACACACACACACACACAAAATGTTGACTGGCTTGATCAATGGACCTATAAATTCAAAGGATAAAAAATGTTCCTCTAATTATGTATTTATGTTACAACATGCTCTTTACACTCAGAACATTCACTTTCCAAAAGGCTGTAAAGATTACAACGAGACAATCTTAATGGAAATAGAACTTCAGTAAAACTAGAGCATGTCCAAACTGTTA